GACGGGAGGGAGATGGGAGGAAGACGGGAGGAATTTTGGGGAAGAAAGAACATTCAAATAAAATAATATTATGTGTGAGAATTGGTGGAGATAAAGTAATAATAAAATAATTTGCTAGTTGATTTTAGTTGGATGATTTAATAATTGATTTTGTTTTTGATTTATTTTAAAGGTAGGGAGTTAGGAGGAAATTGATTATGAGGGTAGGGAGTTAGAAGGAAGAAATTTTAATGAGGGACTGACAAGGAAATCAAATTTAGCTTTAGGGATTTTTGAGGAACTCTCCCACAAAATAATAGCTATTTTTTATTTTATTTTTTTAAAAAAAATGATTAAATTGATTTGGGTAGGAAAATATTGGGAAGAATGAAAAGTATTTACAATATTATGTGGACGCAATAGCGAATCAAAACGAGAAAAAGAATAATTATCTTTCGAAGGATCATATTAAGTTCCTTAATTTAGTGTAAAATTTTCCAATTTTGTGGTAGCAAATTAAAGAAAAAAATGTCGTTGAAAGTCAATAATCACATCTGAATTGTGCAGCAGTAAATTAAATATTAATTGTTGACACATATGGGGGATGCACTTGAAATTTTATTACATTCGATCTTAGCTTAGTTGGCTTCAAATTCAAACTATATACGAGAATAATTGAGACCCATGTCTGATTTGATTATATATATATATGTAGTTCTAAGCAATTGCATTTTCTAAAAGTAAAAAATATATGTATAAATTATAATACTGTGCCTCTAACTAATATCACTTAATTTATAGTGAAAATATCTATTTTCACCCCATTTTAAAGTCTTGTTAAGTTTTTCACACCGCTCAATAAAAAGTTAAATTTTTCACCCCGGAAAGTGCAAAGGTTATGCGAAAACTGTCGCATATACATCGCATAACTGTCCATATGCGAAAGTTATGCGAAAAACTGTCGTACAACTGTCTCATATCAATTGCATAACTGTGCGAAGGTTATGCGAAAACTGTCGCATATTCATCGCATAACTGTCCATATGCGAAGGTTATGCGAAAAACTGTCGCATGTCGCATATCAATTGCATAACTGTGCGAAGGCATTGTGCGATGAATATGCGACAGTTATGCAATTGATATGCGATAGTTATGCGACAGTTTTTTGCATAGCCTTCGCATATGGACAGTTATGCGATGAATATGCGACAGTTTTCGCATAACCTTCGCACTTTATGGGGTGAAAAACTTAGCTTTTTATTAGGCGGTGTGAAAAACTTAATTTGTCTTTGTTATGGGGTGAAAAAGATTTTTTTCCCTAATATAAATTGGCACCAATTAGACTTGTAGCTTGTTATCAAGAACCACTCCTACGTTATTATAATTAAGTTGTCCACCGTGGGTAGGGGAACATTACTCTGGCATTATAACCACTAGAGAAAAAAGTAGACCAATATTTTAATAGAAACTCTTACAAATATTTAAATATAACTTTTATTGGAAATTTTCCGGTCTCAATTATAAAAAATACCAAAATCATAGAGAATTAAATTTTTCTCATAATTCTAATTAAAGTTTGATGATTCAAACAATAATTTTAATCAACGGTTTATATTTGTAGATTTTCTTTTCTTTTTTTTTTTTCCTCGAAACGACAGATATCGTTTACCAAATGGTAACAAAGTTTCCACCAACTTACAACCCCATTTTTTGAGGAAACTAAGGGGGGAATCGGGTAGAAAACCATGCACCCCCTCCACAAAAGGGACTAGACCAAACCTAGAAAATGAAAAACAAAGAACTAATAGAGACAAAAAGCCTCAACAGACACCTAGCTAGAATATACAGAAGCAAAACAAAGGTATAACAAACCAGCTAGCAAAATAACAAGACAACCATAGAGATGCCAAAATCTAAAGAGTAATATCCGAGATGAAAGCTCATGCAACAACCAAACCAAGCCAAGTGATGATAGTCCTGAAGTTAGAAAACTTATGACAAATAGGTCACCCTAGACATTACTTCAAATACCACCCAAAGCACTCCATCAGAAACTGAAAGCACCCCAACTCAACCCACAGTAACCCTCCCCTCCTCGAACTCGTCTCATTCCCTCATTGCTACCTTAACTGTTTCATTTTCTTCCAACCAAACTTTCCTAAAGATCTAGTTATTCATTGTTTCCATAACCACCACAGAATACAAGTTGTTAAACTAATTATGTCTTTTAAGCACTGAGCATCTTCAATCCTACAAATTTCATCCCATCATTCCTTAAAAGAACTTTGTTTCAATTTTAACCTTCCCGTCATATTCCAACAAATTTCCACACTAGTTGAGCCATCTGATAATTAAAGAACAAGTGATTTTGGTCCTCTGGAGAAAGCCCACAACAACAGTAGATAGGA